TATCTTTTAGTTCTTTTGTTTTGAGAAATCTATGTACCAAAGAGTGCTCTCAGATTTCTTGAACTCAGGAAGAACTGATAGTATGATTCACTCCCTCCACGTCTACCCAGCTTATGTTAACAGTCCCAAATGTTCCCTATCAAACAGCATGTCAGAAGCCTGTGACTGGTCTAGAGTACAAGCAGATGATGTGCTTTTCAGCAGTAATGAGTATTAGACTGGAGAGGAGGCAGGAATCAGTGGCTCTAAGGCATCCTGTGTGATCTTTGGACATGACAACTTTATAGATAGCCACAGAGAATCTGCAATATGTTGTCCACTGAGTTCTCGAGCTTACCAATTTTCCCTCCATAGAACTACAGTTCATGGAAAGTCAAGCTGTAGAGAAGAGGTAGAGTCTTCTTATATTTCCATTTCACAGAGTGATGGCATGTTTTCAGAAGGATTTGCATTGCAGTGATACTGGAGGTTCCCCTGAGATCACAGATACTTTACAGACAAAATGGGAAAGAACTTGCCCCAAATAATCTAACGGCCTAAGTAGGGATGCCTTAAACACAAACAGGCACACTACATCCTTTAACAGCAAATAGTTTTGAGATATGGCAAAGCAGGGGGTACGCTGTGTTCCAGGGATAGGAATATATCCCAAAGGTTCAAGCAGAAGTCAGAGGGGTGGTAAAAATAAAGACAAGTGCCTGATACACAAAGTTGGAAGAAGAGTTGATGTCTTATCGCCAGAGTAAATCCTTCTCTTTTGACCTTGTGTGAGGGTCAAGAACTTGTTCAGTAACAATTACTGTTATGACTGCGGACAGAAAATTCCTGCTCTGTGCCCCAAGGATTTCAGAAGCTAGTTGCACTTACAGTCCCTGGCCAAATAGGCACCACATAAAACATGAGTTATACTAGCATCATAGTCTATCCTGGGTAATAAGATTACTTTGATCCCTTTTGCATGGTCACAAAGGTTTCGTTCTTCATGACATTACACCAGACCTGAGCTGTCCCACACAAGGGATAGGTAGTCTATGGCCAGTAACCCCCATCTTCTTAGCACAAAAATAAATGGGAAACAGGAAGGAAACAAGACAACTGAAATCGGGGGGGGGGGGGA